AGCCTCCAATATTACCATTCAGAGCCTCCCCAATCCCTTTTGGTGGGTATAAACCTGATTTGGGGCTGGTGGGGTCAGGGCAAGTTTTAGGATCAGCTAAGATCTCATTCCCCTGTGACTTCCTGCTTCTCTCCCTCTCAGGCCACACAGTAGCTTGGTCGTGCCAGCTGGTCTCAGTCGGGGACACGCTAGCTCCTCGGGCACACCATCGGAGCTTGATGTCAAAGGGACTCAGGCTCTTTTCTCTCAGGAGTTCCGCTTCCATGTAAATGTATGGGAGCAAAGAGGGATATGTTTGGGTTCATTTGGATGCCTGGTAGCATCCAAGAACCATATATCACATTCCAGTAGGTACCTCAGGGGAAGGACTGAGGACTCCATTTGCCATGAAGTCTAAATCCAGGCTCTCATTCAGTTTAATGCCCTTTTATTCCTATACAAATAATTCACAAAGGGCTGAAACACTCCATTGTTAAATTCTGTTACATCGCTGGTAACCAGGATTGGGTTCTCCACAAAATTACCAGGTTTGGTCATTGCCCTCAGGCTCTGTCTCTTTTTGCCTCTCTGGGATTATCATGTCTTCCCAAGGAAGTGCGAATTCCTCAGGGACACTGGGGGAAGGTTAATGATGCTAAATCTCTAGCATTTTGGTTCAGACGCAGGAAACACAAGTGGGCAGTGTATGGGGTGGGGGAGGGAAGAGCTCTTCCTTCTGAGCCAGAACTTCATGACTCTGCAGTTGGCTGTGGTACCCCTGGTCCTACTGTGGGACTGCCGTGGGACTAGTATGGCCACTGCTTCTTTTCAAATCTGATTTGGAGATGCTAAGGGTGTGCCTCTGATCCACGCTCTCTCAGTTGTACCTATTAATTTCAACAGAAGTTTTTCGAGTGGTCACTATATAATGGCTAAATGATCCCACATCGCCTTAGGCTTAGAAAGTATTATGTCATCGGTAAACAACACCACCACAGTGAAACAATCAGGCAGGTGTCCAGGGGTGGGAAAGGGAAAGTTAAAAAAAATTTACTTAATTCATATCTTGGATGACCTCTGGAAATAGGCTCCCTAGCTACAGTACCCTGGTGAATAGCTTTCTATTTTATTAATATGGGTGTGAGTCTCTGCATTTGCTTTTCCTCTAAAGCTGTTCTTCCTCCTGAAGTTGGTGGCAGGTGGTGCCACCATCCACGTGTGAGGTCACAGGCCATAGCCCTGTGAGTAGGAGGGATTTTGCTGGAAGGAGAAGCCATCCGACGGACAATGACCAGGGAGGCTGTAGGCCATGAAGAGGCTCTGTTCCTGCTCTCCGATTAAGACCTGCCTAGGGAGTCCAATTCCTTTCTTTTATTCTGGGCTTCCAGGGACATATTTATGCTTGAGGTCACCATCAACAGTGGGGAAAATGGCTACCTGACCCTCCCCAATCCATACTTGCTCAATGTTAGGGCAGCCTAACACACAATCTTCAAACCTCAATGAATTAACCCAATAACAATTTATTGCTTGTGTCACAGTCCAATCAGGCTTTATGGCTCCCATGGGCAGATTTTCTTCAAATAGAAAGTCAGGAACTCTGGCTGCTTCCATCTTGGAGACTCCATCATTTCAGAATCCTTCACTTCCAACAACGCATATAGGGGAGAGTGAGTCAAAGCTCTTGTGGGAAATTTTAGGGCCAGGCACAGGCAAAAATTATTTCATGGCTTCAACTTAATTGTCAGGGAGGCTTCCTATGTCTGCAGGTGAAGAAATGGGATTGGAGCGCCAAGCCAGTCTCTGTTATATTCACACAGAGGCGTCAATGCCCACAGTTATTGCAGCTAATTAGAGTTTTCAGGTGCCCTTGCAGATCTGTCTCCTTCCCCATCACAGCGTACCAACTATCTTGATTTTCTTAGACTTTAATGGCACCTATTTACCAATGGCACATAAACATTTGAGACCTAAGGCACTGTGTAATAACATGACCACACCATACTTGTTCCATATTGATTGTTGAGTTGAATTAATGAAGGCTAAGGATATTTGGATTAACTGTCTTCAAATCATATTTGAAGAAAAGCCAGACTTAGAGGTCAGGTTGAGCCAAAGGCAAGAAGAGACCATCAGTTCTGCCTGCACCCAGAAATATCCCTAGAAATTCTGGAATCCTGCTGTGGCACAGAGAGTCCAGAACACATGAGGAACTGTGGTCAACTGCAGAAGCATGGGGTTTTGGCTTAAAGGGAGTGACTTTTCCCTCCCCAGCCTCTCCCCCGCCCCCGCCCCAGACCTGGTTATCACTTCCTATATTTGAGCAAACCTGGACTTAATTTTCTCAGTCCTCAGCATCCTTTTTGATTTGGTTTTTCACTGTGTGTGTTGGCCTGGGCTTGCTCCCCTAGATTGACCACTACAGGAGATCCTTGCTGGTCCTTGTCACTGTGGTGGGAGGGCGGTCCCTGAGGCCTGAGCTAGCCTGAGCTTTGACAGTTGTTGAGTTGTAAACCTTCCAGTGGCTGCCTGAATTATCAATAAATCTGATCTGCCTGCTCCTCATCTGTGCTAGAATATTACTATCTATAATAATAAAAGCGTAATATGCTAATTAGACTGGACAGCCAAACGACCTTCCAGACATCATTCCGGACATCCTTCTGGATGAAGCTGCGGCGGTGGGGGCTGTGGCAAAGGTGGTTAGGAGCAATCAGGCAGGCAGGTGAGCAGTTAGGGGCAATCAGGCAGGCAGGCAAGCAGTTAGGGGTGATCAGGCAGGCAGGCGAGTGGTTAGGGGTGATGAGATAGGCAGGCAGGCAAGTGGTTAGGAGCCAGCAGTCCTGTATTGTGAGAGGAATGTCCAAATGCTTGTTTAGGGATCCCTGCAGAATTGGGCCTAAACCAGCAGTCGGACATCCCCCAAGTGGTCCCGGATTGCTAGATGATGCAGGCCAGGCTGAGGGGACCCTCCCCCCCCCCATGCAGGAATTTCATGCACCAGGCCTCTAGTTAATAGCAATAATGAGCTTTACCAATAAATGTAAAGCCTTGGGACTTGAGGGTGTTGTGTTTACCTGTCCTTGGTGGAGTTTGGTTCAGTGTACTGTTGTCTCCGCCTAGTTCCCTCTGCTGCTGATGGCTGTAGTCTAGGGTAGGGCATTCTTCCTGGCATATTTGAACATGTGGTGAAAGCCATTTCTTTTTTTTCTTTTTTACTATTTATTTATGACAAATATTCCACATCTGTGAGATAATGCTGTTAGCCTTGGCCAGAGAATGGAGTTTTCTGACTCACCCATTCTGCAAAAGGTCCCACAGACAGCATAGGTTTTAAACTGGACATTGAACCTGCCTGTCACTTTGTCAACTTCAGCCATGCTCATCTGGATGGTGTGGTCCATGGTGTCAATAATGCATTTGCTGGAAGAGCATTTGCATGTACAGGTCCACAAACTTGCCAGTGCCGTTCTACATGTGGAGGCCACACCTGGTGACACCATGACCTGAGCAGTTTCTTGATTCATTTCCTCAGCTCTGTGACCTGAGACTAGGTTGCACCAACAACAGCTTCTGAGAAGAACAAGACAATAGGGCTAAATGCTTTCTTCCATGGCAACAGTCCTGATTGGAGCACTTTGCATATATTAAACCACTCTGCTAACTTGGATCAGGTGTTTTCTGGTGTTTAACTAGAGCGAATGGTACTGAGTGCAGTCCCAGTGCCCATTCCCATGACTCACAGCCTGATGGGGCTGCTTGCTTCATCAAGAAGAGGTGAGTGTATGTGTCACATGGAGAACCTTCTCAGTTGTCTTGGACCCATCTTTCTTCTGTAGTTAACACAGCCTCTGAGCAAGTCAGCCATGCTGAAGTTGGCCTTCTGGGCTCACTCTATAAAGTATCTGGCCAAAGGTCCTAGCCCTATCTTTGTTTCTTGTCCATAGAAATAGCATGTACCTCTCACTCCTGATTTAGGCACTTCTACACTCGGGCTCCAGTGCTCATTCTCCTCTACTTGAGTTCCCAGTTACGGGCCTCTGCCATCTAAATCTCATCAGTTTTGACATTAGTAGGAGGGATAACGACAGTACTCAGGGAATAATAGATTCATAATGTGAGAGGAGGTATGAAAAACTTCAAAAAAAACTATCCCAGGAGAGTGTAAAATCCAGGGTCAACTATATTCAGATAAAGATTATGAAAAAGATGCAAATCATTTTAAAAATTAGTTTTAAAATTATAAAAGATGTATATATGCCTGGTTAAAAAAAGAGAAATAGTCCAGAAAAATATCAAATGAAAGGCAAAAATCTCTAGTCTCCTATTTTCAGTTCTTTCAGAGGCTAGAGTTGAGGAAAACCAAGCTGGACTACTACTTCATTATTTATAGTTAAATCAATTATACATAAATCAAATTGTTTAACATAAAAATGAAACTATAAAAGTACTGGAGGAAAATATAAGGGAATACAATATTTTAAAATATTATTTTTTTTTCACTGTTCAAGGCTTACTTGGCATTTTAGTTGGTATGACACTTGGATAGTTGGCTGTATTATTTATATGTAGACTTTTCTTTTTACATTATATGGCAATGTACACTAATCTGATAATACAGTACACAGAATAAGAGCCTTTAGAACAGTTATGCACAAAACATGCAATATTGGATTTACATTGGATCCCAGAATGTGACTAATTATAGAAAAAGGAACCACAAGTTATATAACACACAGTGAACACACATCTAGCCTGAAGGGCAACTGTAGTGTGAGCAACATTGGCAGTGGTGCCTTTGAGGAGGTAGAACTATTTTACACTAACTAGTCTAGGACTACAAAAGATAACGACCCTCCAGCATCAGGATGCAGATGCTGGGTTTTATAAACCATTACTATTTCTGTCTTTAGGAAACTGATGCTCTTGGTCACAGATCAGATAAAAAGGACAACATGCACAATCTCCAACTAAAATGCTGCTGTAGCCTAGAGAGTGAGGTGGTATGACATCAGAAGACTTTAAAAAACTGCAGCTCTTTCTGGATCCCCCACAGTGTATCTGCACTCTTTCTTCTTCAAATGGGCCTCTTCCTCAGGTGTCAGGGTCACCTTCACAACATCTGAGATTCCATTCTGTCCCAAGATGTGAGGAACACTAAGGAAAATGTTGTCTTTTATCCCATAGAGACCTTTAATCTTGGTGGAAATTGGATGCACCCGCCTAAGATTCTTCATCATACTTTCTGCTAAATCTGCCACAGATAGGCCAATGGCCCAGGATGTATAGCCTTTCAGTTTGGTTACCTCGTAAGCACTGTCAACCACCTGTTTGTGAACTTGTTTCCACTGTTCCTTATCTGCATCCGTGCCCAAATCAGGGTGCAGATTCTTTAGGGAGACACCAGCAACATTCACTCCACTCCATACAGGCACACTAGAGTCTCCATGCTCCCCAAGGACCCACCCATGACAGCTTAATGGGTGAACTCCCAGCCTCTCCCCCATCAGGTATCCGAACCGAGCTGAATCCAGATTGCAACCACTTCGAATAACACAGTTTTTGGGAAAGCCGCTTAACTTCCAAGCCATATAGGTCAAGATATCCACTGGATTGGAAACAACAAGCAATTTACAGTTGTGACTGTATTTTACAACATTAGGAATGATGAATTTAAAGATGTTCACGTTACGCTGGACCAAATTAAGGTGGCTTTCTCCCTCTTGTTGATATGGCCCAGCTGTGATAACAACCAGTTTGGAGTTTGCAGTCACACTATAGTCTTTGCCAGAGACAGTTTTTGGTGTTCTAAGGAAAAGGCTGCCATGTTGGAGATCCATCATTTCTCCCTTTAATTTGTCTTCCTTGACATCAACAACAGCAAGTTCATCTGCCAAGTCCTTCATTAAGATACTGACGGCACAAGCCATGCCAACAGCACCAGCCCCAACGACGGTAATCTCATTCTGGGGGCTCTGTTCTTCCTTAAGAAGATTCACAATCAGCTGATCCTTGAGTGTTGCCATTTTGGAATTAGAACCAAAAGGAACCGGGAGTGCATGGTGGGCAGGCTTAAGTGTTGCGCGATGTAGGATCCGGACTTGGTGGCTGCAGCTCTGGTACCTAAAATATTCTTTTTTTTTTTTTTTGATTTATTTTTATTTTTATTATTATTTTTTTAAATATATTTTTTATTGATTAAGATATTACATATGTGTCCTTGTCCCCACGTTACCCTCTACGCCCCACCCCACCCCCCCGCTCATGCCCTCACCCCCCCGTTGTCCATGTCCATTGATTAGGCTATATGCTTGCATATAAGTCCTTTGGTTGATCTTTCCCCCTTACCCCCACCCTCCCCTACCTTCCCTCCAAGTCCCGACAGTCCAATCAATGCCTCTCTGTCTCTGGATCAGTCCTTGTTCATCAGCTTATGTTGTTCATTATATTCCACAAATGAGTGAGATCATGTGGTATTTATCCGCTCTCCAGTTCCATCCATGCTGTGGCAAATGGTAAGAGTTCCTTTTTCTTCTTCCTCTTCTTAAAGAATACCTTTCAGCATTTCATATAATGCTGGTTTGGTGGTGATGAACTCCTTTAGCTTTTTCTTATCCGTGAAGCTCTTTCTCTGACCTTCTATTCTGAATGATAGCTTTGCTGGATAAAGTAATCTTGGTTGCAGGTTCTTGCTATTCATCACTTTGAATATTTCTTGCCAGTCTCTTCTGGCCTGCATGGTTTCTGTTGAGAAATCAGCTGACAGTCGTATGGGTACTCCCTTGTAGGTAACTGACTGTCTTTTTCTTGCTGCTTTTAAGATTCTCTCTTTATCTTTTGCTCTTGGCATTTTAATTATGATGTGTCTTGGTGTGGTCCTCCTTGGATTCCTTTTGTTTGGGGTTCTCTGCGCTTCCTGGACTTGTAAGTCCATTTCTTTCACCAGGTAGGGGAAGTTTTCTGTCATTATTTCTTCAAAAAGGTTTTCAATATCTTGCCCTCTCTCTCCTTCTGGTACCACTATAATTCTGATGTTGGTACGCTTGAAGTTGTCCCAGAGGTTCCTTACACTATCTTCATATTTTTGGAATCTCTTTTCTTTTTTCTTTTTCGGTTGGGTATTTTTTGTTTCTTTGTATTTCAAATCTTTGACTTGATTCTTGGGATCCTCTTGTCTGCTGCTGGATCTCTGTAAATTATTCTTTATTTCAGTCAGTGTATGCTTAATTTCTAGTTGGTCCTTTTTCATGTCCTCCATGGCCTCACTATACTTATTGAGGGATTCATTAAATTTATCGGCGGTTTCCATAAAATTCTTGAAAAACCTTATAAATGTGGCCTTGAACTCTGTATCCAATCGTTTGCTTTCCTCCATTTCTGCCATTTGTGACCTGTTTCTTTGTCTCCGCATTTTGGCAGCTTCCCTGTGTTGATAGAGTGGCCCTGCGCGCCAGGTGTCCTGTAGGGCCCAGTGGCTCAGCCTCCCCAGTTACCTGGGGTGGACACTCTTGGTGCACTCTTGGTGCCTTGGTTGTTGTAGAATCACTGGGAGGAATTGACCTCCAGGCCAATTGGCTGTGAGAATCAGCTGTGTCTAAAGTGGGAGAACTTCTGTGCTGAAGACACCCTTCTGGGGCAAGACTTGCTTCAGTGGGGCTTTGGTGCTCACTGAGTCTGCTCCCTGAGTATGTCCCTTATGGATCTGAGGAGTTGCTGTCTGGATGGTCCCCCTCTGACCACTGGGTACAGTGGCTCCTGGATCTAAGGAGGTGCTAATTCAGCCTCTGCCTGAGGCCACACAGCAGGAGCCACGAAGAGGCTCAGCTGTGAAGCAATGCAAGCCGCTGCGGGGCCTTGGGCCTTCTCTTGGAAGTTCCGGGTCTGCCTGGTTCGGCTGCAGTTAGGTACATTCACATGCAAAAGCCTCTGCCGCAGCCTGGGTGGGGCGGGGTCTCAGGGAGTCAAAGGGCGGAGAAAGCAGCTATGGCCGATTCTCCGCCCGGAGTCTCGCGTCTCAGTGTCCTGGTAACGGCTGCAAGCACCTCTGAGGGAAAGCCGCCCTCAAGTTCGCCCGCTGCCGGACAGACCAGCCTCTCCCCGCATGAGTCCTGGGTCCCCAGAGACTTCCCGGAACCGGAGTTCAGAGCAGTCGGGAGCTTGTGATTCAAAAAGACAGCCGCATCCTCAGGCGCCACCCCCTTTGCTCGCCCGCGCGAGCCGCCGTACCTCTGCACTTCACCTCCGCAGCGCCTCTGGCTCTCAGCGTGCTTTTCTTTCCTTCTAGTTGTAGAATTTACACTCAGCCAGCCTTCCTGTTGTTCTGGATGATGTTTGCTCAGTCCTTTGCGGTAATTTTCAATTGTTGTGTGAGGCGACAATTTCCCGGTGTTTACCTATGCCGCCATCTTAGTTGCCTCCCTAAAATATTCTTAATGTGTGACATTTTCTCTTTCTGGTATATTTAATAACATCAGTAACATCATTTTTGCACTTTTTTTCTGTAGAGCTCATCGGTGAAAGCATTTAGGCTTGAGGTTTTTCTATGTAGGAAGATTTTGATTATGTTATAGGACTGGTTAGTTTTCTCTTTCTTCTTGAGTCAGCTTATTTTTTTTAGAAGTTTTTCCATTTTACTTAAATTTTCATATTTATTAGCATAATATCTCAATATTTTAAATGTCTAAAGCCTTTCTATTACTCCTCTTTTTTTTATTTCTGATATTAACTATTTTCCACTAACTCTTTTTTCTTAACCACTCTCTCCAGATTTTTGTCATTTTTACTGAGTCTTTTAACAGAACCAATTCTTTTTAAAAATTCTTTCTATTACATGTTTTCTATTTGCTAATCTCCATTCACATTTTCATTATATTCTTATTTATACTTTATTTTGATATATATATATTTTATCTAATAATAGACAAACAGGGTAATTGACCGTACCTTCACTACACCACCCATTGGCTAATCAGCACAATATGCAAATTAACAGCCAACAAAGATGGCGGTTAATTTGCATACGTAGGCTCCAAGCGGCAGAGTGAAGACTGAAGGTGAGCCGGAGCCGTGAAGACGGAAGATGGAAGGCGGCTTTGGCTGGGGCTGCGAAGACGGAGGACGGAAGGCAGCTCCGGCAGGAGTGAAGGCCTGGGTCCCGGGTGCTGGAGGAAAACCGGTGTCGGCAGCCAGGAGAAGGGAAGGCCTATTGCACGAATCCCTTTGTGCAACAAGCCTCTAATTTATATATATATATATATATATATATATATATATATATATATATATATATATTTCAGACTTCTTGTGATGCTTACTTCATTAATTTTTGGATTTTTTAATATAAATAAGGTAGATATAACTTTCCCTCTAAGTACTATTTAAACTGCATTTGGTAAGTTTAGATAGTGAAAGTTTTACTTATTATTTACTTCTAAATATTTTCTAATTTCCTTTATAATTTCTTCTTCAAGCTAAGGTAATTTAGAAGTATACCCTTAATTTCTAAACACATAGGGACAGTATAATTCTCATTTTATTAGTGATTTCCAGTTGGATTGCATTGTGGTCAAATAATACAACCTACATAATTTCAATAATTTGAAAAAGTTTTGAGACTTACATTTTGGTCTAGAACAGGGGTGGGCAAACTTTTTGACTCGAGGGCCACAATGGGTTCTTAAACTGGACCGGAGGGCCGGAACAAAAGCATGGATGGAGTGTTTGTGTGAACTAATATAAATTCAAAGTAAACATCATTACATAAAAGGGTACGGTCTTTTTTTTCCAATAGTTTTATTCATTTCAAACGGGCCGGATCTGGCCCGCGGGCCATAGTTTGCCCACGGCTGGTCTAGAACATGGTCAGTTTTCATAAAAATAATGTGTATGCTGTGTATGATCTTATATATGACCATTAAATCAAATTTGTTAATCACATCATTTAAATCTTCTATGCTCATAGTGACTTTTTAAAAAATATGTATTTTATTGATTTTTTTACAGAGAGGAAGGGAAAGGGATAGAGAGTTAGAAACATTGATGAGTGAAAAACATCGATCATTTGCCTCCTGCACACCTCCTACTGGAAATGTGCCTGAAACCAAGGAACATGCCCTTGACCAGAATCTAACCTGGGACCTTTCAGTCCAAAGGCCAATGCTCTATCCCAGCCGTGGGCAAACTACGGCCTGCGGGCCGGATCCGGCCCGTTTGAAATGAATAAAACTAAAAAAAAAAAGACTGTATCCTTTTATGTAATGAGGTTTACTTTGAATTTATATTAGTTCACACAAACACTCCATCCATGCTTTTGTTCCGGCCCTCTGGTCCAGTTTAAGAACCCATTGTGGCCCTCGAGTCAAAAAGTTTGCCCACCCCTGCTCTATCCACTGAACCAAACCAGTTAGGGCCATAGTGACTTTTGATCTGCTTATGCTATCAGTTACCAAGAAAAGTTCAACATAATTGCTGATTCTTGTTGTATTTCTGTCCAAGTTTCTTTTATGTAATTTAAGGTTATGTTTATGTAAGCTAAAAAAAAACATTCTTTTAATCCTTACCTGAAGATACATTTTTATTGATTTTTAGAGAGAAAGGAAGGGAGGAGGGGAAAAGAGAGAGAGAGAAAGAAAGAAGAAACGAAAGGAAGGAAGGAAGGAAGGAAAGAAGGAAGGAAGGAAGGAAGAAAGAAAGAAAGGGAAAGGAAGAAAGAAAGAAGAAAGAAAGAAGAAAGAAAGAAAGAAAGGAAGAAAGAAAGAAAGAAAGAAAGAAAGAAAGAAAGAAAGAAAGAAAGAAAGAAAATTGATACTCCCATACATGCTGCAATCAGAGATTGAACTCCCAACCTAGGTATGTGCCCCTACTGGGAATTGAACCCATAAACTTTTTGGTGTATGGGGGATGCTTCAACCAACTGAGCTACCTCATTAGGTCTGTAAGCTAAATTTTACATATTGTTCTGTTGAGTTGGATCTTTTTAAATGAAGTTACCTTCCTTATATCTAATTATACATATATTTTGCTATAAATTCTTT